TAATGTACCCACTGAGGTGCCCACCTCTGGAAGGTGCAGGTGAATCCTTTAAGTGCTCAGAGACTTCCTCCTCAGGGTCAGTGTTGGTGCAGAGGGGTTTGGCTGCAGCCTCTTGAGCTGGGCTTGGTGCTGCGGGCACCAAGAGTTCTGCTGGCATTTTAGCCCTCTACAAACAGAAAACATCTCTCCTGTCCACTCCTCTCTGTCCTGTCTCTAGTACAATGTTGAAATATCGTGGAGCTCATTGGTTCAATTTTATACCATAACAACAGTTTTTTTTTAGTTCTCACTCTCTTCCCCAACTGTTTCCAGTACCTGTTCCAGCCAGAACACCATCCCTTTAAAAGACAAATTGACTTTAAGTGTGACAAACCTTTCTTGATTTTGCACCGATTGGTTCGAGATACAACCACTCAACAGTCCAATCAATAAAGCAGACAAAGCCTTGGTTTATTCTCTTGTCCAAAATGCACTTCCTCAGTCCTGCACCAGACCGAAACCTTGTTTTTTTTTAAGTTCAATCCCTGGAGTGGGACTAGAGCCCAGAGCATGTTGTAATGATTGTAACGAGGTTAGCCAGGTGGACTTCAGAATAAGAGTTCCCTGATTGGGCTGTTAACCTGGTCCAATCAGGGAGCGCTGGCTGACAGATATAAACAAGAGTGTCAAAGGTTTTATTCACTCTGAAAGCTGGCTCTGAGGAAGTCGGACCAGCGTCAAGTACTATGCACATGTAAATAAAGGGAGACTTGGTGATGGGATACCAGCCAGTGTGGAGTTATTTCAGTGGTGACGAGTGAAAAAAATATGCTCCTGATGAAATTTGTTTGCAACAATCATCTTGGAGTTGGGGATAAACATTTCTGTCATTCTGCCTTTATTTGCGAAGCTTGACTTGTTCGATCCTGCTGTCGAAGACAGGCCCAATATGTGGAAAGAAAGCGATATGTTTTCTGGGCAAATGACATTGGGGCAGATGAAAAGCATTTAGTAACTCTCCTAACAGCTTGTGAACTCGCAGCTTTTGCAGTTATTAGCAGCCTAAAATTTCCTGAGGCACCAGATACCAAAACCTTACAAGAGTTACGGACTTAGTTAAGGAATTTTATGACCCCAAGACTCCTCTAATCCTGAGACGCTATCAGTTCTTCTTGGAACTTCGAGAACCAGGAGAATCTGTGTTGGGATTTTTGACAAGGTTAAGACAACTGGCAGAGGCGTATGACTTTTGTTTAATCCTTAATGAGATGCTGAGAGACTGTTTGGTATGTGGGATTAATGGTGTGACTATGCAAAAGTACCTAATACCTGAAGCCCAACTGGACTTCAAGCAGGCACAACAACTGTCTTTGTCATTGGAAAATGCAGCAAGTGGAGCATCTGAGTTGCTGGGTATTCTGGAGGAAGTGGACACCCTCGCCAGGCTGACTAAGCTTGGGGAACAACACTTGAGTGAAGGTAATTGCTTAGCCTCATTCAGGACATATCCTGAACAGAGGGACTCCAGGTCAGCCTGCAGCAAAACCCCAAAATGAAGCCAAACCTAGGCCAAACAGTTAACATTTTCTTCAGGATCTGAGCTGGCAAACTATTGCAGTGGCTGTCGGTATATGGACTCAAGACAGCAAAAGAGACCCACTAGGCCTAAATGGAGTAAGAGAACTCATTGGCCGGTATCCAGGAGAGTGTATATACACCTGCAAAGCCTACCTACATCTGGCCTGGAACAGTTAAATTGCTTAGCAACATCCAATTCAGAACCAATCAAAATAAATGTCTGGTTAAATGGTCACCTAGTTCTCACAGAATGGCATGGCCATTTCAGTAATCACAGAACCAGTCTTTAACAAAATTTGCTCTAGACTTCAAGCCTTAAATTTGTGTAAGACCTTGGCTAGATATGAGAACATATACTGTGGAACCTTTACAGATTAAGGGTACAACTTCGGTTCTGGTCTTGAATGAGAAGCAGTTGGTTCCGTTCCCATTGATTGTAATAAAAGGCTCAGGCCTGAACCTAATGGAGCTAAATCGGCTGAGAAAGATTCACCTTGATTGGCTGAGCGTTTTTCAATGAGAAAATGGCTGCCTGAGTGAAGTCCTAACTAAATACCCAAGTATTTTTCAGGAAGGTCTTGGGGCTATCAAAGGAGCCAAGACTAACTTGCGTACTGGCCAGGCAGCGAATCCACGATTCCACAAGGCCCGCCTTATGGGCAAAAGTAGAGGCAGAAATCCGAAGGTTGGAAAGTGAAGGAATCATCAAACCAGTTCAGTTTGTGGAATGGGCAGCACCAGTTGTATCTGGGTCGGTTCGCCTTTGTGGGGATTTTAAACAAATGGTAAACAGCTTTTTGCATCTGGAGAAGTACACAATCCCTCATGTAGAGGATTTATATGCAAGGCTTGCAGGGGGCTAGCCATCACAAAGATGGAAATGCTTCCCTGCAATTGTGGTTAGATGAGGGGTCCCAGAAGTATGCTGCAATTAATACCCATAAGGGTTTGTACCAATATATGAGATAGCCATTTAGGGTATCCTCAGCCTGTGCCATTTTTAGTGGATGATGGAGAACATTTTACAAAGTGTACCCCAGGTCGCTATTTATTTGGATGATGTGCTACTAAAAGGGAAGACCAATAATGAGCACTTAGAGAACCTGGACGTAGTGCTTTAATGTTTCTGCAAGGTGGGCCGTATGCCTTAGAAGGGAAAAATGTGTGTTCCAGGCACCCAGGTGACTTGTGTGACAGAGTTGACAAGACCAGGTTACACCCTTTGGAAGATAAAGTGAGGGCAGTCAAAGTTGCCCCGACTCCCATGTCTGTACTGGAGCTTAGGGCTCTCCTTGGATTTGTGAATTATTATGGAGAGTTCGGACATAGCCCAGTGTCCATCCTGGCATCCTTACATTTGCCATGGAAAAAGGGTCAACCTTAGAAATGGTCGCGGAGTCAACATGTAGCCTTTAGGGAAGTGAAGAAGCACCTATCGTCATCTAAGGTGTTGGCACATCATGATCCCAAATGAAGTCTGGTGCTGACATGCGATGCCTCCCTGTGCATGATTGGGGTGGAGTTGGCTCACAGATGGCCCAATGGACAGGAATGCCTGATAGCATTCGCTTCCCCAACTTTGGCTGATGTAGACACGAATACGCCCAGATACAAAAGATTATCCTAGGTGTGAGAAAGTTCCACCGATACCTGTATGGACGTAAATTTGTAATAGTAACAGACCACAAACTCCTGCTAGGGCTAATGAAAGAGGATAAGGCCATGCTGCCCATAGCTTCAGGTTGACTTCAGCAGTGGGCTCTCATTCCAAGTGGGAACAATTACAAGTTGGAACATCGTTTGGGAGACCAAGTGGCAAATGTGGATGCCTTGAGCCGCCTCCCGCTGGCAGATACACCACCAGCGATGCTACTGCTGGAAGAGTCCATTCTGTTTTTAAACTTTGTGGAGACGGTTACAGGCAGTGACAATATCAGACTGTGTATGCAAAAAGATTCATTTTCAGTAAAACTAAAATAGCTGGTGGTGATGGGGGAAACCAAAGGGCCATCACAACCAGAACTGAAACCTTTCTGGATCCAGCGAGACTAGATCACCATTGAGGGCGGCGTGCCAGGAGCAGAGTGATCCCGGGCCGAGTCCCGGAAGCGAGTCATGGGCCGGAGTGGGAGCAGAGTGATCCCGGGCCGAGACCCGGAAGCGAGTCGTGGACTGGAGTGGGAGCAGAGTGATCCCAGGCCGAGTCTTGAAAGTGCGTCGTGGGTCGGAGTGGGAGCAGAGTGATCCCAGGCTGAGTCCCGGAAGCGAGTTGCGAGCTGGAGCGGGAGCAGAGTGATACCAGGCCGAGTCCCAGAAGCAAGCGCGGACCTGAGCGGGAGCAGAGTGTTCCCAGGCTGAGTCCCGGAAGCGAGTAGTGGCCAGAGCAGGAGCAGAGTGAGCGCAGGTTGGAGGAGGGACAAGTCCTGGGCAGTGGTCAGCGTTTGTAGACAGCGAGGCCTCATGTTCTGAAGTCCAGTGGGCGCAGACTCTGAAGGAAGGACTATAACTTGAGTACTTTAAAGACACTTTGTATTCTCATTCTGGACTATGTAAACTTGTATTCCTATGTTAGCCTTTTCTTTTACTATTTCAATTCTGTAACAACACTTAAAGTATCTGTACCTAGTACCCTGTACCCGAGATCACACCGAGAGGCGACATTACAAACTTTTCGCTGCACTCATTCAAGTGCACGTGACAATAAAGGCTTTTTCACTCAGATGGAGGAAGAGTGATTGTCCTGAGCAAAGGTCACTGCCGGATACTGGCTGAACACCACCAGGGCCATCCAGGGGTTTCCAAAATGAAGATGTTGGTGAGACGTTACGTCTAATGGCCAGGAACAGGTGCAGACATTGCCACGTTGGTGGGGCAGTGCCCAGAGAGCCAACATTGACAAAAATTACCATCAGCAGCTCCCCACAGTCATGGGAGTGGCCAGGGAAATCCTGGCCCTTTTGTGGGCTCAACATTCTTGGTCATTGTGGACATCCACTCAAAGTGGTTAGACATGCATAGAGCACAGTTATTAACCATAGGGTTGACAATTGAAAAGCTGTGAGCATCTTTTGCAATACATGGGTTCCTGGCAGTATTGGTCGCAGATAATGGGCCATCGTTCACAGCAGGGAATGTGAGTATTTCCTAAATCTGAATGCCATTTGGCACATAAGGACAGCGACATCCCATCCATCCAAACTTTGAAGGCAGGCTTAAAGAAACAGCTACAGCTTCACTTCATACCAAACTGTCCCAGTTCCTATTTGATAATCGTCCACCCCTTATGCAACTACAGGGAAAACTCCAGCAAAGTTACCGACGGGGATAAAACCAGGTTCAATCCGATCTTCCTGGGGGGAGGGGAGGGGAGGGGTGAAATGGCAACAGAACGCCAACGCCAGACACAAAACTCCACTAAGGAGCGAGACAGTTTGCTTTAGGCGATGAAGTTCGGTGCTGAAACCATGGAATTGGTCTTGTATGGGTACAAGGAGAGGTCGATGTGAGGTCAAGTCCCATAACGTTCAAAGTTTGGGTAAGTGTGGACCACATGAAAGCTTCAAACCCACAAACAGGGCAGGAGCAAAACACACCCAACCCTTCAGAACAGCCAGAAAGTCTGGCAGAACCCATGGGTTCTCCCCCTCCATCTAGTGTCAAAGAAACCTTGGAGTGTGAGATGGACATGGTGGATGTTGCAGCCATGATGCCTTTACTGCCTGAAGAAGCAGATGAATTTCTTCTGTGATACTCCAGGCGAGCAACAGTCTGGTACACGCCAACTCTATTTGAGGCTGAGTCAGAGGAACTGGACCCGATGCAAAAATGTCCCAGGAGAGGCTACAAGAAAAAGAAAAGGCCTACATGCCCGGACTTAGAGCAGGATGGATGTAGTGATTGCAATGAGGTCAGCCAGGTGGACCTCATAGAATATGAGTTCCCTGACTGGGGCTGTTAACTTGGCCCAATCAGGGAGCCCGGGCTGACAGATATAAATAAGAGTGTCAGGGGTGCTGCTCAGCCTGAGAGCTGGCTGTGAGGAAGCCAGACCAGTGTCAAGTACTGTGTACGTGTAAGTAAAGGGTGACTTGGTGATGGGGTACTGGCCTCTGTGGAGTTATTTCTCCTGTGTCTCAGAAGTGGGAGTATTGTAATGAAGTAATTCTACAATGTGCTTTGGAATATCTTGAGGGTGTGACAAACTCTATAAAAACCCCAGACTTTTCTTCTAAAATTTAATTCTGGGAGATTTTGCCATCAAATTGATGGTGGTAAACGTTCTATGGGAGGAGTCAATTGTTTCATGATTGCAGGTAAATCAGAGGATTAATTGAATCAACATTGCTATCATCTCAATAGTTGATAAACAGCTGGCTGATAGTTACTCCTGTATTATGAAGGGTCAGTGAGTGAGGTGATAATGGCCTATTGGTAGTTTCACTAGATTATTAATTCAAATATCGAGGTAGGCACCTGGGGATCTGGGTTCAAATCCTGCCATAGCAATTAGTGGAATTTGAATCCAATAAAAGTCTGGAATGAAGAATGAAAAGAACTGTGGATGCTGTAAATCAGGAATGAAAACAAAGTTGCTGGAAAAGCTCAGCAGGTCTGACAGCATCTGTGGAGGAGAAAACAGAATTAACGTTTCAGGTCCGGTGACCCTTCCTCAGAAGTTCTGAGGAAGGGTCACCGGACC